AAGATGAACTGATGGGAGCACAAACAAGCGCAGCCATTCCCATTTGCTCTGATCTCTTATGCTCACACATGCGCGCACATATGTACCACTAATAACACATCTTCAATCACAGCAAGAGATCATTGTTTCATGTGCTGCATCTTGTTCTGTGTAAATTGATGTCTTGTTATGAGAGATAAAGGTCTCGAACAGTCTGATTCTAGTCTCTTACAACTAAGCAGCATTCATTTGCAGGATGGTTAGCTTATTTGGTGTTCTTTATCATCATGTATTACCTTTATGCTTTATGCTCTGCACTGCTGGATTTGTTTCTATTAGCTATGTAATGCAAGACAACTTGGTGTGAATAAAAGCTAAGCTTTTTCCAGCTTGTCATTTGCGTGAATATGCTGCTTTTTGTAGGCTATGTGGGAAGTTAATGTCTTTTTTTTGTCATGAAAACACAAATCAGCACAAGTATGAGGATTAGCTCTTTCCACATTTTATAGACCAACACGTTAACTGAAAAATCGTGGTTAATTGCTAATAAAAATACCGCTATGGCTTGATTCTGAGCTATATATGTGTCTGCTTCTGCTAAAATAACATTTTAATCCCCAGTTGGAATAAAATAAAATTGATTGTTGATATGTGAATACTCTGGAAAGGTGGGCTACCTGGTGAGTACTAGAACTGCTGTCTGTGACATCCTGTAGAGACTTTTGATTTGAAGGGAATCTCAGAAGAAATTATGCACACAGTTTGTTAGCTTCGCCTGATGGTGCAGCTGCTGCGATGGGCTATTAAGAGAGGAGCAGACACACTCCTGTGTAAAAAGATCAACCCGAACATGACCATCATTCACAGAGCCAGGTCGTTTTCTCATATTTATTAGCTGTCAAATGCGAAAGTCTGCTACTGATCTCAGTGAATGATCGGGTCTTGTCTGTCTGGAAATTTGCAGATTTGGGTAAAATAGGGTGACATGCTGCAGTTTCTGCTCTTCAGAAAAGCAGAAAAATCCTCATCAAGTAGACTGTTTTATAAGTCTGATATGTAGAGACAGCCTCAATCTTGAGGATGTGCCACAGAAGGTCATTGCTGAAAAGGGTGGCTGTTCACAGAGAATGAAAACTTGACTGGAAGAGAAAAATGAAAATATTTAAAAGTCCGTTCAAGAGCTTGGGAGAGCTTAACATGCTGTGGACTGCAGCTGGTGTCAGTGAATCAAGAGCCATCACATACCAGCGTCTTCAGGAAAGGGGCTACATCTGTCGCATTCTTAATATCAAGGGACTCCTGAACCAGAGATGACATCAA